AGTACTTTAGAGAGGTCCCTAACAGCAGACTTTCCCTAAAGAGGATTAAGCACATGAAAAGATGCGCAGCATCATTAGTTCTTAAAGAGATGCCAATTAAACCATAATAACATACCATTTGACTCCAAAAAGGATGCTGTATTGTTGCTGTTGTTAGGTGCTGTCCAGTTGACTACAACACACAGTAACCCTATGAACAACAGATCTGAATCCTGTCTTATCCTGTCTGTACTGTTCTCACCACCTCTGACCTGCTTGAGCCCACTGCTGCATCAATTCATCTTGTTGAGAGTCTTGTCTCTTCTATTGCCTCTTCATTTTCCAAGCATGATGGCTAAGATTTTTTTTTAAAGTAATAATAGTAATACTGAAAGTAGCAAATGCTGAAGCTGGGAACGTAAAAAGGTACAACCATTGTGGAAAATAGTGTCGTGGTTTCTCAAAAAACTGAAAGCAGAAACTACCACATGACCCAGAAATTCCACTCCTGGGCATACACCACAAACACTTGAAAACAGAGATTCAAACTGAGACTTAGACACTGACGTTCATTGTAGCATGATTCACCATAGTCAAAATGGAAACAACCTAAACATCCACCAACAGATAAATGGATAGACAGAATGCAGTAGACACATTCAATGGAATACAACTCAGGCAGAGGCAGAAATAGAGTTCCGGAACATACTACAGTATAGATGGAGCTTGGAGACATCATGCTGAACAAGATAAGTCAATCAAGAAAGGCCAAATACTGTATGACCTCACTTTACAGAAAAAGGCAAGAAAAGGCAAATGTATAAAGACCTAAGTTGATGAATGGTTATACAGGAAGAGAAGTAGGGAGGAAGGGAGGTTAATAGTGATAAGAAAGTTAGTTGTGCTGATTAAGGATAAGACTGCACAACTGATTATCATAACTATAATAAGTTGTTAACCAGTCAAAAGTTCATATGGAAAGAAGTTATGTGGTTTACAATGACAAAAAAAAATAGTGCTGAGGCTATTTACATATAACCAAAGGCTTCATGGGATTTGGTTTCTTGGTTTGGAGAATTAAGGTCATGGTTTCATGGGACATTCCAGCTAATTTGCCCAATTAACTAGTGTCTGTTCTCTCTCCAAGAACCTGGCATCTTAAAAGTTTACAAGTGCACCACAACAAGATAAAGGT